AATAATAATAAAAAATTAAAATAAAGGTAATAAGGTGTTAAGGCATCGATTTTATCATAATTAATCAATATAAATTCTGAATTAATATACTTTCAAAATTAATTTATTGAGTATTATTACATGGGACAATGGATTTTCTTAAATTAATTAACTAGTTTTATCAAGTCAAGTTAATCCTTCACTTATTTGTTAAATTATCTCTATATAATTTTAAACAAATTAATGAGTATTAAATTCTATGAAAATCTCTAATTTAAGAAGAGGGAGCTACTAACTCTCTTCTCTTCCTCCACTACCATTCCTCCACTACCACATATGAGCTAATTACCTCTCGATTTTATAGTCTAATACACGGTTTATATTATTATTGATCTAATTTACTCATGCATAAATCACTAAATCAATTGAAAAATTATCAAGTTTTCAATGCGTTAAGTTCAATAATATAAATTTTTTATGCAAATAACTTTAATTAAAAGTATAAAAATCATAAAATTTATATTAAATTGATTAGGTTATATTATAGCCTTAATAAAATAAATTAGTTCATAATAAAATTAATAAAATTTGAAATCACATTTATGAGTATAAGAATAATAAAGAAAAATAAAACCCAATTTAAAAAAATTAAAATCCTTGATCCCTTATGGTTGATGGATCCTTAATTTGATCTCCAATAATACCCAAAAGATGGCTGCCACCAGCCTCCAATAACTCCCTCAATTCTGAATTTGAATGTATATTTATAGAATTTTAGAATCTTTAATTAGAATAAAAGTAGGATTTGAAACAAAATAGAAAACTTGAATGTTGGATGTTGAACGAATGATACCGATACTTCGAATTACGTGTCGACACAAAATAAGAAACAAAAAATCTAATTCTGATTGTTTAGCGCATGGTGTCGACACTACACCCGCGTCGGGTTTCTGGCCTCTTTTTGCAATTTCTTCAATGGTAAAATAGCAGATCATCCTCCAGCTTTTGTACAATGAGTACTTAGATCCCAAAACTCAAGATTCATTCATTTACATCCCAAAGAGGCCCCCTTCTTCTTGTAATTCAATCCCTCAACTTTCAAAAGATGTTGAATTAATCCCAAAATCTCTCCTTTTATGCATTCAAATCTTTTTCTGCACAGATAATGGAAACCATGTAAAATCTCATAAAATTCATTCAAATATCAATAATATCAAGACAAAAATTTCATATTAATATTTATATAAATTTAGCTCATCATCTGTATTTCAACTTAATGATGAGTTAGTCATATAAGAATAAAAATATAAAATTTATCAAAGAAAATTTGCTAATTTGTTTGTATATGGGGTGTAAACAGTTTGTTTTCTAGCCAAATCACTTAAAATTGATATTGTTCCTACCAGATGCCTAACAGACTCAAATCTTGAATAGTCTTCAAACTGACAGACTTCTGAAATTCTTTCAAGAAATTACAAGCAACAAAACACGTTGAAGCTGTACTCCAAACTCTAAACCGCCTGCGTCAAGTCTCATTGGCTTAACAACCCTTCAAGTTGTCAT